CAGATGCATCTCCATGTGAGTGCTGGCCGTGTGGATGCTGCCCAGAGGACTCTGCTTGCCCACCCAAAGGCCAAGGGCAGTGTCCACGGCGTCGGTGGGCTGCCCGGCTTGCTGCACGGGGCCCCTTGCGAATGCTGGCATCTGGTCTCCCCTTTCAGAAATACATGCATGTATAAATCTTTTTGAACAGCAAATAAATGGCAGGAATATCTGTGTTTTTGTTAAAAAAGACAAACTGGAATCCCGTCACAATTGAGGCTTGCACGCTCAATCCCAAAGGCAGCTGTCACCCAGGAAAGCGGTGTAGGATGTCCTCAGGACATGGGCACAGACTCAGTACTGTTTACAAAACCACAGGTTTCTATACAGAACCCACTGATCAACCCAAATCATGAGTTATGTAAAAAGAATAACGTAGAAGGCAAGTGGGTGTTAATGACTTGTTTGCCACGCACGTCCAAGAGACCATGCGGCGTCCTCTGTTACGAAGGCCCCTGGAGAATGTGAGACTCCCACGCTGATAGCGGAACGTTATCATTCTATAGGGTCAAATTAAAGATATAATTTTATAGCAAGTTTATTTTAAAGTCCACCTGTTTTCTAGCATTATTTTCTAGCATTTCAAAGAAGCAATGCTCTTACCTTCTCGACAGCTAATTTTTCTGGGATTCTAGAAACCCTGCGTATAGAAGTGAACGGAGCTCGCTCCCGCTTGTCTCCATGGCATGTTGCCCTCCCCGCTGCCCACACTCACTGACCATCACTTGCCTTTGCGCCTGAGATCAGCAGCTTCCTGGCTGCAGAAAGAGTGTTTCCCTCCACCTTCCATAGCTGGATCTCTCTATGTGGGCTCAACTTGGGGACAGTCCCTGGGTAGTGTCCTCAAAACCTCCAGACTTTAAATCAGGCTTTTTTTTTTTTTTTTTGTCTTCTGGATGGTAATGTTGTTTTTATTCTAGATGGATTCTCCCAGCCCTAGGTGGCCCCCAGGTGAAGTACAGAACTGCAGGTGGACAGATCACAACCCCATGACCCAGCCTTGTCCAGAGGACCTGCCCAGAGTGTGCCTTGGCCTCCATGGTTTGTCAAGAGAATATTCAGGCCATATTTGGGGTAAGCAGAATAATCACAAGGTACTTCCTGCTGATTCTATGCTCTCATAGGACTCCAGCCCAAACTGCATCCGACCCCAAGAAAACACCCTACTTGACATGACGATTTTATGGTATAAGGTCAACTTCATCACTTACATCCAAAGCTATCGACCGGGCATCCCCCAAACTCACAAACTACAAAATCTACAAACTTAGAAATAACCAATATTCCAAGCCAAGACATTCTTTTGGTGGCCCACAGGACAAGAAGTCGATGCCAACCCCGTGGGGCCAGTCATCACGGAAGGAGCAAGGCCACCCTCTCGTGCTCCAGGGTGCCATTATGTAGGAGGAATCTCCCATCCTATCCACTGGCCAAGACTGGCGCCTCGTGGAAGGGCTAGAGGCCACACGCATCGCGGGCAATTTCTTCTCTGATGTGTTTTGCAGATAATTTCATTCTGAGTTTTAAAGTAAATGCCTCACTTTTGCTGAATCCCTAAAATAGTTCAGTTCAATTATTTGAAATAAATCCTAAGTTCTTAAAATAGACTGCACATTTGAAAAGCAGGTCTGAAATAAGAAAAGACTACATGTCAGAAACTGGCAGAACCTCTGGGCACCGCACAAACACGGGGAGAAGCAATCAATTTTCTGGTCCCAGGGAAAATGTAGGATTGTGTATCAGGAATGCATTCCATTAGATAGTAAATAACAAGCTACTTGACACGGCACTCACCGGGTCGCTTAAAATTAGTAATTTGAAAGCTTGCCATTGTGACATATTTCTCTTCCCAGGGAATTCCAGGAAAAGTATCATTCAGACCTGAGTTATTTGATCAATTGATTTAATTCCATCTGTGAAAGAGCGTGCACAATGTATATGAATTGTGCGAGGGTTCGAGAGAGATGCAGGAGTAGGAAGTGACGTCCAAAGTGAGCATGTGGCTTATTCCTTCTTCTCCAACATGGCTGCTAGTGAGTTGCACATTGTAGGAAGATTTCACAGGCTTCTTGATGAGGAAAAATTCTATTATTTATACAAAAAAGGTGGATCAAAAGGGACTGATTACAGCCCATCCTTTGGAGGCCTGTTCTCTTACTACATATGCCAGAACCCACTAATTAAAAACACACAAAAGCAGTTAGGAGTTTGAGAAGAGCCTGAACTTATTGACAATAACCTTCTGGAAGACAGACAATGCAGAGCTGATGCTGGTGGGCTGACCGCCAGGGGCGATCTGCTCTGAGCAAGGGACACGCCGATCCAGCTGTGGGGGGCATTTGCAAAAACAGCACGGGGGTGAGGCTTCCAAAGAGAACAGGTGGTTTATGTGCACAGCTCAGAGATGAATGAGCAGGACGGGTGGAACATTCTAGATCCCCAGTCCAGCTACATCACTAAGCAGAGGGAGCATTTCCTCCAAGGGCTCCGTGGGAGAACAGAGCCTCCCGGACAGCGGGGCCCGCAGCTCGGGACGGATTGGGCAGGCGGAAAGCAGGGCGGCTCTGCCCAAATCCTCTGTCTGCTCCAAAGCTGCTGTTTAATCACGGAAATCCCTCAGATGATTAACAGCGAAATTAACGTTCTGACATTTCTTAAAGGCCAATTGATCAGAATTCAAGGCCAGTCCCTCGGGAAAATGAGTGAAATCAGGTTGTGCAGGCAGATGGCCCAGCTACTCTGGATCCTATCCAGCCTCCCCTCCAACACGAGTTCAACATCATCCCATAGTGGCTGGATTTCCGCACTTCTGGTGTCTCGGGAAGGGCGTCTTGATTTCAAGATTCTATATGCATTTAGCCAAAGACTGACAGAGACCTGCTTGGCCAAGACCCGTGCTCTGAACATAAAGACACGACTCTTTACTCCCTTTCCTGGAGCCCATGGGCCCATCGAAGGCACTCGGCATCCATCCTCTGGGTGCATGCAAGTGTCCTTTGATGCCCAAAAGTGACTTTCTAAAGAGAAGGCGGGAGACTGGCGGGGGGGGGGGGCTCCTCACTCCAGCACCACAGGGACCCTCATGCCAACTGCAGCCTGGGTCCCCATTGCCCCAGGAAGGAGACCCCCCCTCCCAGCACCGGGACAGCTCCCTGTCTTGGGGAGGACAGTGCTCACCCTTCCCGGAACTGTTTCTGGAAAGTTCTGTGGTGTCTGTTTGTTATCAGTTAAAATTACAATATACCCGGGCCGTGGTCAACGGAATGATTTTTTGAGGGGGTGCATGGTAGGGAAAGGCCCAGCGGCATCGAAATGAAGGGACCTGAAGCCACTCAGGGAGAACGCTGCAGGTTTGGGCCTCCAACCTCATCCGTCTGTCACAGAGAAGAGTCCCATCCCAACTGGGGGTCAGGGGTCAGGTCCCACGGCCCAGTGTCTGCTCTCTCCCTCACTCCCCTCTGCTGCCAGGAAGCCCCCGTAAGGGCGGAGGACACCAGGATGGACAGGCTCTGAGGCAAGGTGGCATTTTTCTCCCTTCCTGCAGACAGGTGCCACTTCTTCTAAGAAACGATTTTTTTTTTGGTAGAAATAATATTGAAACTGTATTTTTCAGGCTTCATACAACATAAGCTTAAAGAATAATTGGGTGACATAGGGACGCCTGCCTGGCTCAGTCGGTGGAGTGTGCCACTCTTGATCTCGGGGTCATGAGCCCCACATTGGACACAGAGATGACTTAAAAATAAAATCCTTAAAAACATACAAAAATAAAAAAACAAAGAATAATCAGGGGGTGTAAAAATGGTGACTGGGTGATGGTTTTAACCAGAAACCATCATAAATCAATGATGTGAAGTCTGTTTTTCTCAGATATACAGAGCATGATTTTTCTTTACGATGCTCACACTTTCCATTTGTGATGCTATTTATACAAACACCAGTTTTTAGAAGTTGGCACTGGAATCTGAGCCACCGCTGTCCCCCTGGTCTCGCACGCCCTCACAGCCCGCCGACCGACCATCGGCCTTCCGTGTGCCGCGTCTGCCCTCACAGGGTCCCGTGAAACTCCTAACTTCCAGAATGACTTGCAGTGCGAGGCTCTGTTCGACCTGAGCAGAGCAGGGGGCGGGCTCCAGCGGCACTGCCTGCCTCCTGAATGTGCTCCGGGCTCTAGGGCACATTTTTTTACAAGATTTATTTATTTAGCTGAGAGAGAGCGCACACGCGCGGGCAGGGGCAGGGCCAGAGGGAGAATCTCAAGCAGACTCCCCGCTCAGTGTGGGGCCTGAACCGTGCTCGATCCCAGGACCCGGAGATCACGGCCTGAGCCGAAACCAAGAGTCGGACGCTTCACTGACTGCGCCACCCAGGTGCCCACATACCCACAGCGCTGACCCCTGACATGGGCAGCTGGCTCCCCGCTGCAGGCCTAGGCCATCCCGTGAGAGGACAGGTGTGCGGGCGGCAGGTCACGGCTGGGTGTGCCCGCGGGGCCACATTGAGCACCAGGCTCTGGCCGGACGTCCGGCACCACCTGAGCTCAGGAAGTGGCCCCTGACTCTCTCTTCATGGGTGGCCTTTTAGATCCCCCGCCTTCTCTGCCAAAGACGGCGGCCCACCAACCCCGCCATGCCTTCTGCCCGCCTTCCAGGGAGCTCAGACATACAGACCCTGAATTACAGCCCTTTGTGTGGGACTCAGAAGGAAAGGAGCCACAGACCGGGGCCGGCAGGAGGGGCTCACGGCGGGGGCGACGAGCATGGAGAGCTGTGCACACACGGAGTGTGACCGCAGTCACGCAGCGCCCCCCCGCCCCGTCACTTGTCACCTCAAGCTGCCATTGGGAGCTCCCGCAGTCTCGTGCAGACGGGAAATCTGAGGCCAGGGCGAATTACTTTGCCCAACACCACAAAGCAAGCAGGGGGCACCCAACTCCAAGCCAAGAGCTGCCGGCCACGCACACCCATGCCCTCGCCCAACACCCGGCACCCTGGTGGCTCCGTGCATGCCTTCAGGGCTCTGGAGCCCAGGCTGGGCGGAGCACATGGGCCCCGGGGAGGGCCAGACGCTGTCCAGTGTCCATGGTGCCTGGAGCCACTGAGACACCTGCCCACTGAGGCATGGGGCGCCCAGAGCAGTCACTGAGACGGGACCTGAGACCTCCCACCCTCTGCTTACTGGTTGCATCTGCTCTTTACTCAGTCACTAGAGTCAAAACAATCCTTTTTCTTTCTACACCGCCTAATTGTCTGCGAAGGAAAGACGCGAGAGCAAAAGGCCTTGTCACCTACCTGTTCCTCTTGGTCCTCAGGTTCCGGTCTCCCCTGCCATCCTCAGACTGTGACCCATCACTGTGGTCGGCTGGAAGAAAATCAGGTTAATAAGGTTGGAATGTCAGCTCCCATCACTCTGGCAAACCACTGAGATGCACTCACTTTCAAGCAGAGTCATCTGGGAATTGGGAACACAGAAATCAACCCCTGGAACCAGCTTTCTCTTAGGACTCCTTGTAAGTTCCAGCGGAAGAGAAATCTGATTTTCTTCTGTGCAGAGCAGGCATTTAGAGGCTGCTAGATCATCCAGCAAAGCCAGAGGATGGAGAATCAACAGATGGCATCTCCCAACCCCTCCCCGGGCACGTGGGGATGCAGGCCCTGGATGAGCCCTTCTTTGTCACATGTGCCCTCACGTTCTTGCAAGTGGACCAAGAGACCGTGGTTCCCTCCTTTGTCTGCCTCCAGGAAGCATCACCCCTCCCCTGCATGCGGCATGCACTTCATTCCTGACTACATGTCTACTTCAAAAACCCAAATTGATTTTGAAGACAGGTCCCCTATTTCCATCCTGAGGAGGCTGGCCTTATAAATATTTGATGAGCTTTTGAAATGAAAAAGTAAAAAGGTGCTTCAGTGTTTCATATTTGTCTCCAAAAGGGAGAGAGGAAAAATGAGGATCAACATGGTTCTAGAGCATTATTATTTCAGTCCTGACACATGAATGATTTCCAGACGTTCCCTGGCATCACAATGCTTTCTTGCCTTGCTTCTCACTCTGTATCCATCATGCCCCAGAGACCCCCTCTCGTGCTCCTGTCCCAGGCGGGCAGAGGTGCAGGGGGCTGGGCTCTGTGGCGCATCCCCAGGTCCCCGTGTCCCCTGCCCACCCAGCTGCCTAAGCCCCGCCCTTCCTGAGGAGGCTCTGCCAGGAGAACACGGCCCACCGCCTCAAAGATGCACTGTTTGGAACCCAGCGAAGCCTCCAATCCAGTCAATTCCTAGTTTGCTTCAGTGTTCAGTGTGGGGCTGGCAGCAAGATGGGAGAGTCAGGTTCTGGAAGCTCCCGGCTGCCCCAGCCCACCCGCAGCCACCCACGCCACACCGTGTGCACTCCACCATCCCGGGACCCAGGGGGACCTGAACGGGACCAAGAACGGGCCACAGGCCTGTCCACGCCACACGCCCTCGGCCCGGCTGGCAGGACAGCACCCCCTGGAAGACACTTGCCCAGAAAGGCGGCCCCACAGACATGGACCCTGTCCAAATGAGCGTGGAGCGGAATGGGCTCCTTGTGGGACAGGGTGTGTGTGTTTGGGGGAGGGGGCGGGCATTCAGGACCTCAGCTCAGGGAAGGCTGAGCATTGGTGGCCTCATGCCCCAGTGACACTCGGGCCGTCCTGTGCGCTGGAGGGAGGCTGCTCAGCAGGTGCTAGAAGCAGCAGGGACAGGTCCCAGGTCCAGAAACTGCCAAACACCCCCTAGGGGAAGAAGCCCCCCTCCTCATTGAGAAGCAGAGGAAAGAACGTTTGTGAGAAATGAGCTCATGTGGGGCAAAGCTCACCTTCTTCCCGCTCCACACGCTCTTCCCACACGGCCGCTCCGGGACGCCGGCCATCGGTCCCTTCTAGGCCGCTGACCCCTGCAGCCCAAGAGGCATGCTCACCCCCCGCTCCGCCCAGCTCTCCCCTCCTGGCCTCTCTGCCTCAGTGACCCCACAGGCACCCCAGCCCTGCACGTTCAGCCTGGGTCCACCCTCACGCCCCCCGTTCCCTGTCCCAGTCTCCACGCCCACCGGCATCGCAGGACATGACACCCAGGCCTGGATCCTGGCCCCTCTGCCCCCACGTGCACACTGGGCTCTCACATGGACTCCGCCTCCGCCTCTGACCTGACTTCTCTCCCCCTCACCCTGCAGACAGCTCTCTTGGAACTTTCTAAACTCCATGACATTTGCAACAGACAAGGCCTTCAGGTAAAGTTGTCTGTCCTGTCGCTCTTTAACACTGGTGTTTGTGAGACAATGGGAAGGAGAGGCGCCTTGGTTCCTTCTGAGACACAGAAGAGAGAAAAACCCCCAACACTGGGGCTGCCCTTGGCAAACAGAGGGGCAAGGCGAGGGTGTTCTCCTGCCTGGACAAGAGCCCCCAGGAGCCTCTCCTCCCCTAGGCTGGGTCAGAACCGGCCCAAGGTGGGAGAGCTGGGGCGGCAGAGCTGGGGGCATGGTCATGGGCGTTGGGATGGGATGCCAAGCAGCAGGGCTCCCTCATTTTTCGGGGCAGCTTTCCTGCACCAACAACTGTGTCTCCAATTCTCTGGACACCGACTGGGACTGGATGTGCAACAATTCAATTAGACTCTGGCACTAGCTGCCTGGAGACCGCGTGGGGACCCCAGGACGCAGGTACCCCTGCTTCTGACTGACCGGCTGGAAATCGTGATGCTTGATGTGTGTTAGAACAGTCCACAGAATACAGGGAAACACCTTGTTCCCTGGCTCAGAACTCACTGTTCCTGGGCAGCAGGTGTCCTGCCACGTGGCCCTCCTCCCTCCTCCCTGCTCCCTCCTCTGCAGGCCCAGGGCAGGTGGCAGAGATGGGTGGGGGTGTCAGCCTGCACTGGGGGACATGAGGGAATTAGAACAGGTAGATCTGGACCCTGCACTGTGGCCCCATCGACCCCCACTAGCTGGGGGCCTCCTGACACCAAAATCAGTCTCTGTGTTCTTTGCTCCTCGGCAGGTCATATTCAATCTATGAAAGAAGTGCAGAATGACAGAGTCAGGCAGAGACAGAGCCTGAGCGGAGCTGGGCAGTGTTGCACGCGGCCCCAGAAAGAGAGTAGAAGCCTCGGGAGAGGTTGCTGGGCCAGAGAGTCCGGCAGGAACCAGGGGTCAGTCACCCTGAGGGACGAGCCTCCTGGTCACTTGGAAAGGCTGCACTCATGGTGCTCCCCCACCCCTGAGGTTCACCGTGAGCTTGCCCAGGCTCCTCCCCACTCCCCGAGCCCCCCACAGGAGATGGGGGCCCCCAGGTGGGCCCCCCTCCCTGCTTCCTTTGGTGCAGTGTGAGTGGATCCTCCTCAGGAAGCTCCCCGGCCACTGGTCTGGGGACTCACGTTGCACCGTCCACACACAGCCTCTCCTCCTGCCCCACGACATGGCTGTCACTGCCCGTCACTGCCTGTGGGCCGTCTGCTCACTGCTGGGGCCGGGGTCCAGCCCAGGGCTAGTCAGTCCAGCCCCCAAGTACGCAGTGATTGGTTTGGAAGGGAACTGCTGTCCTCTTCCCTCCCCCTCCTCCTTCATTCCTGGGTCCACAGAGGGGGTGACAGCTTGAAGCATTAGGTTCTGGGGGAAACCACTTTGGAAAATGCTCTCCCAGCCTCCCCTGTCCACAGCTGCATGCGGCCCCAAGGCACAGACGTGACACAGCCCCGGGATCAGTGCTCATTCAGTGGCGTATCTGAAACCCAGAGGGGCCTCCGCCCTGCCGTCCAGGCCGCCGGGCTGCAGCAGGGGAGGGCTGAGAGTCACAGAGCATCGTGAAGAACCCGCGGTGCACAGGAGCCTGGCCTGTTCCTTCCAACCCGGCCGCCTGGCAACTTCCACTGGAGTTCATCAGGCTCCCCGCAGGCGACTTTCTAAGCGGATGGCCTGTCTCCACTCATCTGCCGGGTCTAGGGTCCTGGATCAGTCAGTGTGCAAACAGGGGGCACAGGCTGGGGGCCACCGGGTGAGGGATGCGGGTCCCGTGTGAGGGTCAGGGTCCCTCCCAAACAGCAGGGACGGGGGAATTCTGCATGGGGGGCCTCTCCTCCACCTGATCCTTGGGACCGGTGATGCCCATCCTCGGGCGGCGGAGGCCAAGTCGCCAGGGACGTTGTCAGCTGAGCCCAGACACCTGGTCCCACTGCGGCTCCGAGACCCGTGTACCCTCCCCGGGCAAACACAGCTTGGCAAAGCCAGGCTCTCACAAGTCACAGCTGTGTTTACTTACAGGGATGCTTTTATATCCCACTTGCAAATGAACATTATTACCAATGTACATTTGTCTTGAATATAAATGACTAAAATGTTTACAGAGGAACTGAAGCCAAGTGACGTCCGTGCCCTCTATGGCAGGTGGGGGACAAAGTGGCTGAAAGGACAGGCTGCCTGCACCTGACCGTGGGTGTGGGAGGCACAGGGAGCAAAACGTTTTCCAAAAGAGCGTTCTTATCACAGGCTCGCAGCTCATAAGAAGCCTGGTAAAGCTGTCCCTCCTCGGATGTGGAGTCCGACCTACCTGGGTGTAAATCCCGCCCCTGCCCCCTCCCCACCCCCCGCTTGATAGAAATGTGACCTTGGGCGAGTTAATTAATCAATCTCCTTTAATTCCCTCTTCTCTAAAATGGGTAGAGAGCCGGCGGGCTGTAGAATGATAGTCCCTGAAGATGGGCACGCCGGCTGCCTGCGCCTGTGAAGATATTAGGTTCTAGAGCACAGGGCGATCGAGGCGGCCAAGCAGCTGACCTTGGGGTGGGAGAGCGTCCCGGGTCACCCAGGTGAGCCCAGTGTAATCATAAGGACCCTTCCAAGGGGAGGAGGAAGGCAGGGGAGTCCCAGAAAGATTTGAGGACGTGGTCCCGCTGCCTCTGCAGGGGGAGCAAGGGGCCTAGAGCCGCAGAAGCCAGGCAGCCAGGAAACACGGGTCCGCCAGCCCCATTGGGACTCACGCAACGTGACAAACTGGGCTTGCGTTCAGCCACTGAGCCCGCGCTCATGGGTTACTGCAGCCCCGGGCCGTTCACAGGCAGCCCCCACCTGGTAAGCTGAGCGTAAGCGACCAGGCTCCGTACCCCCATTTTCCCCTGCAGAGTCTCTCCCCCTCCCACCTCTGTGGCTCTCAGCCCACGGGGCTCCCCCTGCCTGGAGCCGGGGATGGAGGGCGGCGTTGCTGCAGAGAAATGCAGGCCAAGAGCGCAGCGTCCGACAGGCTGGAGGACCGCATGAGGACAAGCAGGTGGACCCACGTCCTCTCAGCTGAGGAGCCCGCCAAGGCCCCCAAACGTCGGGCCAGGGATTGAACGCCGGCCCAGGCCCCTGCTTCCTGGTTCCCTTCAGCTCGGTGGGTGTTTACTCCAGACTAACAGCAGAGGTCCTAGAGCCGTAAAAAATCTGGAGGCACCGCAAGATAATTAGGAAATAATTCAGGCCTTTGTCTGAGTCTCTCAGCAACGCTAACAGAATGAAAGAGGGGACTTTTCCCTTAGCTGTTGAGTGATGAGTGGCTCAGCACTTCTGGCAGTTCTGTATCCCATACCACAAAGCTGCCTAACAGCATTAGCTCCCCCCCGAGCCGTGTGTCCCTAGCACGCAAACACAGCTAGAACCGAGAGCCCGACATGCAGCAGCTGTTTTATAAAATTCATTTATTTCATTTGCCTCTTGAAAAATAACTGGTATCAATTGGAATGCCTAATTGTTCTATTTCAGACTAGAAACAGGTATTAATATATTCACATCCATAATGACTCATAGTTGAACAAAATGTGAAAAACAAAATTCTCCACCAAGAACACTCTCCCCTGGAGCCAGTTCTCATAATAATTAGGGTCAAATCGTTTGATGAGTCATGACGGATTAAACAGCCAAGCAAAAATGTCACTTGCCGATGGCTGGAGGTCATCAACTCTACCCACTAATTGCTAATTAATCCTCCAGGAACACCTTCTGCCCTAATTGTTTTGCTGCAAACAAAACAATTTGGGTGGGTGGATCTTAGAAAATTAGAAATTATTCACTGAAATGTCAATTCTACCCTGCAACAAGAAGTTGAGAATTAAAGTCATTTGCATATCTTTAAGATTCTGGTTAAAAAAAAAACCCACGTTTTAAGAAAATCTCTTCCTCTTTTTACAAGAAGAAGCAAGTTAAAACTTGTTTTGTAACTACATGTAATGTTATTAATAATATCTATCTAGGTAGAGTAGTTAGGGCCGTTGTAGTAAGTTAATGGAAAACAAGTATCTTGATATATCAAATCTAAATTAATCAGGTATTTCTGGTTGTGTTTGTGTTTGTTAGACTTCAGGCTCAATTCTCTACTGTTTTTTAGTATAAAGTGAGTGAAATAGAATGCTGATCTGTGGCCCAGGTAATTCAGATCCTGCCGTAAATTAAACAAGGAGGCCATTAGGCCAACAGGGCTCTGATGCCTTGGAGGGCTACTTAAGCAAACCGAAACCTAAGTCCATAAATGTCTCACATTGCAGAATCAATCAAAAAGCTGAGGACGGTCAATCACAGAGCCAAGTAGTCTCCAAGCTACAGCCAGCCCCACCTTCTCTGCGTCTCTCTCCTGGGCTCCCACCAGCCACCTCGAACTGCATCAGATATGGGGCTGCCCCCTTGGAACCTGGTTTCTGTGCAAATAAACTTCAAATGTTTCATATACCTCAGTTTACCCTCCACCCTGTCCTCCACCTGCAGTCCTCACAAGCGCTGACATGGCAGGTGACTCAGTGGGGAGTTCTGCGGACGCCTCTCTGTCTCTCCTAGACCTGGCTTCATTAGGTCCAAAGGAGAGAAGCCACAGGGCAGCCAGGCACTGACTGTTAATGAGTTCCTTTCTCGTGCCTGTCAAGCTTTGGGGAAAAAAGAGGGAAGGAAGGGAGGAAGGAAGGGAGGAAGGAAGGAAGGAAGGAAGGGAGGGAGGGAGGAAGGAAGGAAGGGAGGAAAGGAAGGAAGGGAGGGAGAGAGGGAGACACAGCTCCCAATTATCTACGATGCAAGCTAAGGAAACTGCCTCCATTATTTGTCTTTTATCAATCAAATCAAATCACAGCTATGACAACTGCACCTTGACCTGTCTCATGAGATTGGGGGTCTCCTGATGCCCCAATATATGCACTGTTCTGCTGTCTGTGAGTCAGGACCTTGGGAGATTGTTTTCTATGAGGGTTTGTTTTCAAACCCTTCAACAAAACATTCCATTTTGAGGAAACAAAATCACAAACCCAATGCTTATTGTCCCTGCATGCAGCTAAGTTTTTACAGATTCAATTAAATATGCACCTAAAACATTTCTCATCCCAACATGGGTTGACTCAGGCTCTCTGGAGAAGGTCTCGTCATCCTAGGTGAAATAAGCACATTAAATCTGCCTCTCTCAATCTCAACAGACTGCCACCATCTTTAGAACAGCAGCATTTTCCAGTCTCTCGGCACTGTTAAAAATGTTAAGAACACTTTTATAGCACCGTTTTCTAAAGTCCCAGTTAAATGCCTCTGCATTTGGCTAAAAATGTGGGTGGATGTTGTCATGCGTTGGCCCTCTATGATGGGAATAAAAAACATCATTGCAAACTCAATAAAACACCCCATAAAAATAAAACAAAGCCCCCTTTTAAGGGGTCAAGATCCAGTTTCCTGGCCTCTCAGCCACTGTGTGCATCTCAGGCTGGGAGGGAGCTCCTGACTCTTAAGTTTCTGTGCCAGAGCCAACGCTCTTTTTACCCACGTGCTCAGGGAATGGGGCTTTCCCAACACTGCAGCTAATATAAAATATATTACATCTAATCGGAAAGGATCCTTGCTGGAAATGCTAACTGTTCTTCTCTGACTCCGGGGAAATGGGATTTCCACGGGTGTGTTCAGACACAGCTACCTCTCCGCCAAGTGCCCGTCCCTCCGGCAGTAGCGTGTCCTTCGGCCCACATGGCCTTCCCCTTAAATTCAAGCACCCTTCGAATAAACAATGGATGATGGGTCCCGTTCAAAGCTTCGACACAAACGTGTGAGGTAGAAGGAAATATGCTACTGTTTGCATGCATGTGGTCTCTCAAGTGGAGTTCATGAAACATTTGGAATAAAAATTAAATGTTGGCTAATGACCATGCAGGAAGCTTCAAGAAGCTGAGGGAACGAAAAAGCCTTCTCTGAGTTAACAACTTCCCGAAATGCGAAAAGAAAGCCCTAGCCAGCCCCCTGGAAGAAAGTGTCTTCGGCAGAAAGTGCCATAAAACCTTAACTACTAAATTCTCAAATAGCGAACACAATTCTTTGAAAATCAATTTCCAGCATAACCAGGAAAAACATGCTTTCCCTTCCCGTTCATTAGGAATACACAGTTTAAACACTTATGAAAGTGGATGCAAACAGCCCGGTTGTTAATTACCTGTTGGCGCCTCCAGCTTGCGCTTGTGGGGCGGGTCCTCGATGATCCTGTTGAGGTCCCCGCGGTTTTTCAGGTCCATGGGCTTCTCCCACACGGACAGCTGCATCGTCGGGTTGAAGAAGAAAACCCGGTCATCGCCTGTCCAGACCACACACCTGTTTGAGTGGAAAACTCACCTCAGTTCCCCTTGAAGACATTCAGTTAAGAAATCACTGGCCTAACCCAAGAAACGCTTGGTGCCTGAAATCCACACGTTTGCAAAGGTGACTTATGTAACTTATAAATCATAATGACCCTGTCTGGCTTTTTAAGGGACTTTACAGAGCTCCTATTTTCCCATTTGATTAACAGGTAGATACTCTCCTGATGTCCTTTTACCAGGTAGGGACAGTGGAGGTGAGCAAAGCAAGCAGCTCGACAAGGGCCCTGGAGAGGGCCCTCCAAGGGCCAAGCTCCTCCTGGCACGAGTCCACCTCTGCTTGAATGCGGCTCCAACTCAGACCCTGGACTCTGGGGACCTCTGGCCGCCCACCCGGGGACCACGTCATTTGGAGGGGGCTTCCCGGTAAACATTCCAGATTCACGGGACTTGGAGGCATGTGGGAATCCATATCCTCCCGCATCCGAGATATTAAACGGGCCACTGTGATTAGCAACTCTGGCACTCATTCTCCAGTTTGTTTGTAGAAGAACAAAGAATTAAGCTTTGTGTTGTCATAAATAGGAATCTAAAATCTCCAAACAGAATAATATGCCATTTTAAGACGCTGTCTCTGTGGAAGATCATCAGAGAGGAGAAAAGATTAAAAAGCAGTGAAGAAAAACAAAAGAAAGGCCATGATCTGTTCCTAAGGAGTGTGAGTGGGTCTATAAGGGCCTGCGCCCTGGAACCTGGATCCAGTTGCACAGTGTCCCGAAGAACAAGGCCACTCAAGGCCACCGGCCTGGCCTCCGGCTCTGTCCCAACGGTGGGTCCGGGATGGCGCAGAGAAGTAGCCCTGGGCTGGCACCAAGGCCCGCTTCTGGTCTGGGCTCCCGGAAGTTTCCCCTTGGGCAAGTCCTGCCTGTCTCTGGGCCCCAGCTTCCCACAGTGGCCTCCCAGAGCCCTGCAGCCCCAGGGTTCCCAGACTCCAGACGTTGTGGGACTGAGCGGGAAAGCCCACATGTGCTGAGACCCTCTGGCTATCGATTTTCCTCTAAGGGAGGACCTCTGACGGACGGATAGCTGCCTGCCGGGCCCTGCCTTGGGCCCTGATGACCAGCTGCTCCAGCCGTGCGTGGGTACCCACCGTCAGGACAGAGCCGACCAGCCATAGCCACTCTGCTCTGCACACAGGACATCCCTCTAACCTGAATCTGCATACTCACCCAGCTAGACACTTCCCATGGGCCATGCAGAGGGCTCGGGGATTGAACCCCACGTTCTAGGACTCTGAACAGACCAGGCTCTTTCCTGGAAGTGATGCTGAGATGGTCTGTCGGACTCAGTATGCCGGCCGGGCCAGGTTCGTGGGTGTGGTAGGCAGAATGAAGGCCTCTAACATGTCCACATCTTAATCCTTGGAAGCTGGGAATGTGTGACCTCACATAGCAAGGGAGGCTTTGCTGATGTGACTGAGTTAATATCTTGAGATGGCAAATGATCCTGGATTGTCTGGGGGGAAGAGGGAGGCAGGAGGGTCCGAGTGATGGAGGAAACATCATGGAAAGAGATGGTCAGACATGCACAGGGGTGGGAGAGGGAGGCGGGAGGACCCCACAGTGCCGGTCTTGGGGATGGAGGAAGGGCTAAGGAAGACAAGAGGCTCCAGAAGCTGCAAAGGCAAGGAACAGATCTCCCCTGGAGCCTCCAGGAGGAACATGGCCCACCCACACCTGGATCTGAGTCCCATGAGACCCAGGTGGGACTTCTGACCTCCAGAATTATGAGATGCTAAATTTGTGCAGTTGAAGCCTCTGGGTTTGTGGCAGACTGGTCAACAGGGCTCACCTGTGGCCCTTCTCTGTCCTGGGCAGCAGCATCAGGACCCGCCTCCAGCCAGCTGTGACCCAAACCCCAAGCACTGGGCCCACGCACATTGGCCACCACTGGCCTAGCCATTGAAGGTGGAAGAAGACAGCGACCTGCCCCCTGGCTGACATCTCCTTCAGCTCTAGGCCTGTCCTTGACCTTAAGGTGACCTTGGGAGCTTCCCGTGGCCCAGGCGGCCTCAGTTCCATCCTGTGCGTAGGAAGGGGTTGGAATGGAAATGTGCATTATTCTTACCCCCACCCCCCCATGGGGACCAGGGCCCCTGTCTTTATTAGAGGTGGGGGGCTCTTGGGCCCACAGGGGTGCTGTCCAGGTCCGTGCTGGGGCTGGAAGTCGAGGGGAGGGCTGGCAACCAGGATGTTCGGATCCTGTCCCTGCCCCAGGGTGCCCGGGTGGGTCATGCTTCACCTCTGCGGGCGGGAGGGGGACTTTGCAGTGTGCAACTCGTCCAGCATGGGAAGTTGTTATCGAGTATCAGGCTGAAGGTAAACATGCCGTGCTGTAATTATGCACAGTTCAGCCGCTGCTGGGGCTCTCCAGACAGGGTCCTGGGCCTGCGGGGACCATAAACCCTGTCAGAGCAACGCGGCTCCTTCCCGCTCAAACGCGGCTCCGGGGACGGAGGGCGCCTGACCTGCCTGGGGGCTGCGCTCCTGGCAACATGCAGCCCTCGTCTGGGCACCCCACTGGCCGGCCTGCACTCTGGGGCCTGGGGGGTGGTAGTCCGGTCACGAGGGCAGGCTCGCGCCCAGCTGCACCTGGTTTCCCAGGACGGTGGTTCCTGCCGTGTCAGAGGCAAGCAGGCCAGCAGCGTGCAGGAGGGGACCGCAGGTCCCACGCCTCTTCCTATGTGCCGCCGCGGGCAGTCAGGCTCGTGGTGCCCACGGCAGCCAACTGCGGCCCCACACGTCAGCTTCAGGAGCCTCCTCTGGCTGCCAGTCCGAAGCTCCAGGCAGCAGTCTTGTTCTCTTGTTCATGGTGTCTGATGGCACTTGGCCTGAGCGGAATACTCCAAAGCATCCCGGGCTCCCTGCATTCCCATCAGCCCCCTCAACATAGCGTCTCCTCGGAGCCCCAACCTCACCTGGTGGAGCGGAGAACAACTTCTGCCAGGCCTGCTACAGCTAACAGACCTCACGGCACTGCGGCCCCTGGCAGCCGGGCCTCCTGTCCCCACCGCCCCCCCAAGCAGCCCAGAGCCCGCCCCCAGTGCTGACTGACCTGTGCCCTCCTCTAGAGCCCTCGAGGGAGAGAGCACTCAGCTGGGAGCACTACCCCAGCCTGTGGATTCACGGCCTCAGTGTCCTCATTTTTAAAAGGCTGATGGACAAGGGTCTACTCCCAGATGGTTTCCTATATCCCTCCCAGCTTCTATTCCACTTTCTATTCTTTTCTCTTCATTTTCCAGTTTGGTGCCAGGACCCCAGTCATGGTCATGTTGGTGTCCCTCCCCTCAGACCCACCTTACCAGCAGGTGCACCCATGCCCAGCTCCTGAGCTCAGCAGCCTTGGGCTCATAGCGGCATGTTGTTAGATAATTGTGCTCAGCCCATCCTGACCTCACCTGGAGGCTATGCCTCCCCCGGGGCTGCCTGACTTGGGGTGAAGTGGTGGGTGTGGTCCATGGTCCAGGGCCCCCAGGCTCGGCCGCAGCTGCCCCGCCCACTTTCCTGCTCCCCTCTGCCCAGAAATCACCCCTTCAGGACACACAGGCATCCACTCCTTCTGGGACCCCGATCAGGACAAACCCCAAAGGGGAGGAAGGACTAAGTGTTCCAGGAGACTTTCCAGCAGGTGAGACAGCAGTTGGTGCCAGGGACACCTGCCCCCACCTGCCCCCACCTGCCCCCACTGCCTCCCTCTTCCCTAGAAGACCTGCACTTTGGGTTTTCAAAACCAAGACCTGATCCCACCAAACACGGCCCTGCCATCGCTACGGTAGCTCGAGGACCCAGGCAACAACGTGAGATGTTCATTGAGAAGGGGGTGGTTAACCAGGCTTTGCGGATGTGACACAGACCTGGGGCACGTCAGCTCATCCCACAAGCAGCTGGGCCATTTCAGGGGAGAATTACTAAGGAGCTGGCAGCTTTGGAAATGCAGGTGCCTGGTGGCTTGGAGAGGTGTCTGTCTGGCTGTGGGCACAGGGAGAGGGCAGAGTTGGCCCCAGGCCAAAGTCCATAAGGGGGAGCAGCCTCAGATCACCCCCAGGCCCTCCCACCTGGCTCTGGGAGGCTGTCCTACCCACAGAGCAACTGGCCTCCTAGGTAGTCCACTGTAAGTCACTGGTTTTCCTAAGACCCAGGCAGGGTGCTGGGTCCTGAGAAAGTTCTGGTTAGCAGCGGGGAGGGGACTTGAGAATAAGAAGCTGAAAACGAGTGAAGATATCCACTGCTCCTGGGTTGGGGAAACCCATGTCCTGTCATGCAGTGTCATGGGGCCTAAGAGAGATGGGGTTTCAACTCTGGGCCCTAGGCTGCCACTTACCGATCTTGTGCTGACCTGACACTATGCTGAGGGGAGGCCAGTGGGTCTCGGCAGGTGGGCCTGGGCGGGTGGGGCCCTCAGGTGAGTTTGGGCAGTAAGTCTGGACAGGTGGCTTATGGTCAGGTGGGTCTAGGCAGATGGGCTTGGGCACCTGAGTCTGGACTAGAAGGTCCAGGCAGCTGGGTGCAAGCAAGGGTCTGGACAGGAGGCCTGGACAGAAAGGTCTGGCAGGTGGGTCTGGGCAGCTTTGCAGCAGGGAATTAGGGACTCCGCTGAAGCGGCCCCCAGTGCTGGGCTGACCGGTGTGAGAGGGACCCCTGGCTTCCTGGCCTCCTCTACTGGAAAGCATAAGGCGGGGGCTGCCCAGGGGGGACCGACCCCCAGCACAGCCTGTGGGACCCACTTGAATTCCTCCCAGTGTCCTGGTTTCCAAAGAAAACCAGGTATCTCGTCAGCACAGACCAGAGCAGTCAGGGGAAGTCGGCTCGCTCGAGCGCCAAGCGCCGCAGCTAAGGGCTGCTCCCCGCGGCCGTCTGTCCTATCCCTGGTGAAACCCGTGTCCTCGACACTCGAAAACATGTCGCCCCACGGCAAGGCTCCAGATCTTCTCCCTCGGGCGGGCACGGTTCATTCTCT